CAACGACCTCATTGGTTGCAATCTAATGAAGGATTTGGTTTTGGCAATTTTATTGAAAAAGAAAATTTAATTCAAAATTATATTGTTGAAGACACTCTTTTTATTAAATGTAAAATTGAATAATATTTTTTTCATTTTATTTTAAATGCTTGTATTTTTTTAGCTATTAAACTAATAAAAAACGACAATATGGAGTGTATGTAATAAGATAGGATCAGAAGATAAAGCGTTAGAACAGCAATGTTATAAGTTGATTGATTTTTTAAAAGATCAAAATACTGAATATCGTTTTGAAGAAGTGTCGTGCATAACAGAAAAAGTGTATAAAAAATTATCAGAAGATTCAAAAGATTATAAATTTGATAAAAAGGAAGTGAATCTTTACCTAAAAATGTGTTCAAAATTAATTACTAAATGTAATAAAGGAATTGATCAATTAGAAGAAGAAGTAAAAAGAGAAAAAAAGTTTGAAAGAAAAAGAAACGAAGCGTTTATTGATTTTGCAACAAAAAAAGATGAATGGTGCTGTTGCGAAGCTAAAAAACAAAAATTAGAAACATGTGTCAAAGAATTTATTTTTCCAATTAAAACTGAAATACGTTTAAATTTAAAAAAAGATAAACGAAGTCGTTTTTTTCAATTGTTTGCAAAAATTAAAAGTGTATTAATTTGGTGTTGATTTTTTTTAATATGATTTTTCTTGTAATTTTTTTTTAGAAAAATTAAAAAATGTATAATTGGGTAAAAAATGGTTTTCAACCATTGACACCGTTTACAAAAGATGAATTGGATTCTTTGATTTCTGTGAACGAAACTATTATCTCGTTGCAACCAAATGAAGAGATAATAAAGGAAAAACAAGATAAAGACGAGAATCGCTATGCAAAATTTCAATGTGCTAGTTTTGATTCCAATAATGAATTTCCAGTAGATATTGATTTCAAAAAATTGCAAGAAGTTAGCGAAACAGATGAAAAACTATCAGAAGTTAGCGATTTGGATGATAGCGAAACAGATGATGATAGCAAAACAGAATATGAATTACCAAGTTCTTTGGAAGAGATTCAATTTGATGAAAATATTATGGATAAAAGTGTTTTTGCTAAAAAGTTTCCCAATTTATATATGTTATTAAAAACAACTGAACACGGTAAAGAATATTGTTTTTGGGCAGATGTTGTTTATCATATGGCAGATGAAAGAAAATACAATTGTACAGCTGTAAATCGCAAGCATGCCAAAAAAATATTAAAAGTATTTTTGGTCGTTGGCTTAAATTACTATCGTATTTTTTATAACAAAAAAATACACGGTGATGTCAGTGAAATTAATTTAAAGGTAGCTGACGAAATTAATTTACATTTGGAAATGTTAATAAGAATACTTCAAAAATGTAATATGAGTTTGGGTTTATTGTTTGCTGCAAAAGATAACATAACAGAAGCGCATGAAATGTATGAAGAAAATTTGAAAAATCCTGAAGAAGATAATGCAATCAGATTTTTATTTTTTGAGTTGCTTATTGATCAAGAAGAAAAAAGAATTGTCTTTCATATGACATTAAGAAAAACAATTTATAAACTTTTAAAATTAACTAAATAATATTTTTTCTTTATTATTGTTTAATTAACGATTGTAATTTTTTTTTATTATTAATGCTTGTAATTTTTTTAGATTTAATGAAAAAATAATGGAACTCACTAAAAATAAAGTAAACGAATTAATGGAAAATTTTTTATCACTTAATGAATGGTTTCCGTTTACATTACAAGAATTGATCACACAACACTAATCGACATATATTGCGGTTTATTACAACATATTGCAATATTATTGCGCGTTCAATTTAAATTGCTATATATTGCTCAATTAATTGTCCAATAAAATATCAATAAAATTATACAAATGTAATGTGTTTGTAAATGTAATTTAGATGCATTTAAATATAAATAATTCTGATGCTTATCTAATTGCCTGTGTCATTTTTTTGTTTTACATAAATTTAATGGGTTTATAAGCAGTAGCAAGATTGTTGTTAAAATATTACAATATAATTGCAATATAATTGCAATATAATTGCAATATAATTGTAATATTATTGCAATATTATTGCAACTAATATTAGGTAATCGATTTTATGATTGTAACTGAAGTTACAAGCATGCTTTCATTGGACTTTATACTGCAGTGTAAGTGCGGCCAGGCAGGTTTCTTCGGCGCACGTTAGACATGGCTTGCATGAGCCCAGCAAACCTGTCCACACAACCTGTCCACACAACCTGTCCACACAACCTGTCCACACAAACCTGGCCACACAAGATACCCGTGCAAAAATAACATAGTTATTTATAAGTAAAGACTCATAAAATTTTATTAATGGTGGATATATGTGCGATGAAACGAAATTTTTTTAATAGAAAGTACGAGAGAAGAACTTTACATTTTACGGCTGAGTCTACTTCTTCTGAAGAGGAAATTACTAATAGTAGTTCTCAGTCCGACTGTAGCAATACAGATGATAATGTTAATGATGGTAGTTTTACCCAAGAGACAGAAGAAATTGTATCTATAGTATCTGAGGAAGAAAATCAAATTCTAGTATCTGAGGAAGAATCGAGTGCTTCCATGTTTCAGTTCTTTAGTTCTAATCCATTTGAATGTTCTTTATTGGATTCAATTGTTAACAAAAAGTTTATGTTTTTAACCTTGTTGTATTTAATGATTAGCAATTCATTTACTGAAATTGCATTTGATAGATTTTTGAAGACTTTGCTGGTATGTTAGATGTAGTTTAAATTGTGCAATGTACTTGTAAATGAATATTGTGAAGCTAATAAAATTATCAATCAACTTAGTTATTAGCAATAAATGTTGATCTGGCTATTTATCTCTGGCTGCTACCAGAAATGGTGCACATTGCTAATAATTCGTAAAAAAAGTCTGATAAAGTAATGCAGAACGTTCCTAATTATAAAACATTTTACTTGTGAAAATTTTATCCGACTTTTTTTACAATTTATATATTATATAATATTTTACAATTATATATTATATATTTTATATCTATAGTTTTTACAAATTATTTTTTTTACAAATTATTAAATTATAAAAATAATGAAGTATGTCATATTTTTATTTCAACTTGAGGCTCTGGTCTGGCCCAGGCTTAGTTTGGTAGATAAAGCTTGAAAAAATATATTTTTAATTTTTAAATTTTTTTAATAGATTTTTCGCTGTATAAATGACATGCCGTCATCTCATAAAATGATTCGTAGATTTGTTACTAAAAATATATTCTCCCATACTGGACCAACGCATAAATATTATTGTCATAATTGCTGCACAGCTTTAGTTGACACGTGTAAAATAAATACTCATTGTTCATCCCATATCTTTATATTGGATATCATTAGCCAAATGAAACTTGTTTTATTTCTGAATTTGGATGCAATTAAATCATATCAATTGGAAATTATGTCAGGTAAAAGAAAGAGTGATTTTATTTCTAGACCAAATTTTGTTGAAAATATGAAGTCTGCAAATGTTTTACATATTCATTTATTGATGTCAACAGATGGTGGAGAACCATACACAAAAAAAAAAGATTACAATGTGGCCATTTCATGCTATTATTTTAGATTTACCATCTTATAAACGATTCCTATTTGAAAATACACTACTTCTTGGTTTATGGTTCTCATTATTAAAACCTAATTGGAATGCTTATTTAAAGGTAATTAAATTATTGATTGTTATTTTTTATTTTAAAAGTAGTTGTCAATGGAATTACCTATAGTAGTAGAATTCACTGTTCCAGCCGTGACAAGAATAAATTGGGCAACGTTACTATATTACTAACTTTTTTTTAGGAGTACATCAATGGAAAACTGTTTGAAACACCCCTTGAAATTAACAATATCCAAGTAGTTATTCATATTGTTGGTTTTATTTTCGATTTGCCTGCAGTGGCTTCAATCATCAATCATAAGCAGTATAATGGTGAATTTGGATGTCACTATTGCGAACATCCTGGTAGAACAATTGAAAGAAAACATGGTTCCGCTAGAATTTATTCACATTCAGATACAAATTATAATCTTAAAACATCTGAAATGTATGCCATATATGCTAGATTAGCCGAAAAATCAAAAGTATCTGTATTTGGAATTAAAGGCTCAAACATCTTTAGTGACATTTCATTTATTAAAGTGCCAGATATGATACTTATTGATGTGTTACATTTGTTTTACGAAAATTGCTCAAAAAAGCTTTTAGTTTGTTTATTTTCTGTTACCAATAAACACGAATCATTTTTTATTGGTAGTGCAAAATTAAATGCTATGGAAATCTTACTTGCTGATCAAAAAATGCCACATAACATGCCCAAGCCATTAACTATTAAATCATTCACACATTGGAAAGGCCATGACTTTAAAAACTTTATTTTATACTTAGCAGTTTCATATTTTTTACCATATTTGAATCCTGACTGCATGACGATGATTTATTCTCTAGTAATTGGTATGCGTTTGTGTAGCAGTGAAATATGTTTAGATAAGGTGTTGCTTATTAGTCAGCTGTTTAACTTTTATCAAAAATCATTGTCTGAGTTGCTTCCTTTATATATGAATACTATAAATGTTCATTTGCTTGGTCATGTTAGCGATATTAAAATGCATGGAAGTGTTACAAATTACTCAATGTGTTGTTTTGAAGCTCGGCTAAGTAATTATAAAAAAATGATGAAGGGAACACATGGTCATCCACAACAGATTGTACAAAAATTTCTTGACTTCAAAACAGCTTCTTGTTTTTTGCAAACAACAGATCATCCTAAAAAAGTTGAAGTTTGTAAAGCATTAAATATTGGCATTATTGAACAAGAAGAATTGCAGTTGTTAAATCCGGGCAGATTGTTGAAACATGGTATTGTTTACCATTCAAAAGGTTATGGCAAACATAACAGCTACACTTGTCAATTTGGACATAATATGTTTGGTATCATATTAGATTTTCCTTTAGTTGACAATGTAATACATGTTCAGTTACAACTATTGAATGTGAAGTGTAAGTTAGTTTCTACTTTTGGTGATATGATTGGAAATTTGGAAATTAACTTTGATGATGACTTTTTTTTTATTGTTGAACAAACAAAAAACATTGTTGTTATTTCAGCTGACACTTTAGTCTGCAAATGTATATTAATTAAAAGTAAATTAGATACAAAAGATGTATTAATTTTGACACCATTGAAAGAACTTTTCGAATATGCTTAGGGTGGCTAAATGTAAATTTTGTAATTAATAAATATGCTTCACATCATGCATGTGTGTTTTTTTATACTAACAAACATTTTTGTTTTTAATATTTTGATAATTTGATTTAAAATAATTTGATAATTTGATTGAATTTTTTTACAGGTTTATATTTTATTAAATAATGACTTACCCTGATAGAAATAGAACAAAGAAATTAGATTTTGTAGACACTCAAAAGCTTTCTTCTACGTTTGTTCTTTTATGGTACAAGGATTGTGAAAAAGATGAGCGGCATACCTCTCCCATATCACTTTCAAATACACTTTTTAAGCATTATTCATCCGTTGAATGCCTTGAATTTCAAGTGGTAAGTATGTTAAAAAAAACTGACAGCATTTACCATACATAATATAATTAAAGTCCACCCTTAAATTTTATCCCCCCTCCCTATAATTGACAAAGAAGATAAATTTTGTTTTGTTTTTTTACATACCAGCTATTAGCTGAATATATCAGCTATCAGCTATTAGCTGAATATATAGAAGCCCACCTTAAAATAGAAGCAAGTATTTTAGATGCCCACGAATAAGATAAAAATGTTTTTTTTTGTTTTTTTACATAGCTGAATATATAGAAGCTCACCCTAAAATGGAAGAAGTATTTTAGATGCCCACTTTTTAGGGATGTTGAAAAATGGAAGCCCCTGCTTTTATTATACTACTTATGGTGTGTTGATAATTAAATTTAATGTTTTTTACTTATTAGAAAAATGTAGTGCATGTTTCTATTGCAAATATACAACACGCAGCTGTCATCATCTATAAGGGGTCTATTACCCAATGCTGTAAATTTGAAACATTGCTAGATAACTTCATGGACGATTTTGGTGATGAAAATCCTAGCACTGATGAAGTAAGCAAGTTTGCCCTCAATTATATTGAAGGCAATACTGACGGAAAAAGAAAACATTCTGATGGAGACCAATCCTCAGGTAACTTATGTAATATAAATATGTGACAATGACAAGACAATATTATAGTAATTTTATTTAAAATTTACTCTTCTGTGTAGTGGTGAAGTGGACCATGGTGCCGGAGTGCAATAGCACCCTGGGTCAAAAAAAAGGAGGTTACCTTTGTTACCAGACAGAGTTTAGTTATTATGTCTGCTACACAAGTAATAATTAATTAAACATTTTTGCTAAATAATAAAAAATGACACAAAATTCACACAAAAATTATCAACACAAGTTAAAGTTGCACTATCCGATGGTGGTGGGGATCTATTGGATCCACTAGTAGCCTAGCCCCTAGTACACCCATGATTATATGTTTGTAACCACAACTTGTTTATGTTTTTTTATAGATTCAGAGAATATTGCACCGGTCTCAGAACATACAGGCCTAAACGGACCTAAATATAAATCGACTCCTAAATCAAAGGTGCTGAAAAAAAAACATGTAAATGAAGTGTTGAATGAAAATTCAGGTAATTTTAATAATATTACAATTTTGTTTATGTAATTTCTTGAACATATTTTTATTGTCTTTTTCATTTATAGAATCAGAGTCCTTTGCATCATTTTATAACAGTCAAAAAGGATCTAAAAAAAGTGAAGCACAGATTATGGCTTTGGAAAAGCGGAAGCTTGACATGCTACTTGACAATGTTGATGCTCCCAGAGCATTGATGCTTCCAATAGTTAGTGATGTTCCTAAAACAAAACACTGGTTCACCGAAGTTAAGCAAACTATCTTGTTTAGAAGGTTAGTTACAGTCCTATAGTATGAATACTGTGTTTGCCTAAGTTCTACCATATTGTACTTGTACATAGTAGTGCTATATATTTTTTTTAACATTAGCAATTTTGATTGAACAAAAGAAACTTCTTTTTGAACAAAAGAAGACCAACAAACTGTTGTCAGAAATTTTGCGCCCAATAGAAAAAGAATCTGTAAATAATGATAATGTAAGTCAATTTAATTTTTGTAATTTAATTAAAAAAAGCTCATCCAATGAGAGCACAACTTGCTAGTATTTACCAAATTGAATAAAAGAAATATTGATTGCTAAAGGAAAGGTACATTTATATACAAAAGGTTGCATAATTTGACCATCCATTGAAAAATGTTTACTAAATCCGAACTTATCTGTATTATACTTTTTAGGCCGTGTATACTGGTTTTGATGCCGAATTTAAATTGCACGACATTCAAAAACGAGAACCATGTAGCTTTGCAAGAAAATTTATTTTGTTGCGATTCGGAAAGGAGTTTACTTGCACGCGTATTTGTGAACCAAACGGACCTACTGCACGCATTCATATGGAGAATGAAGAAATTCAGGAAGTTAAAGGTGCACTTGACAAAGTGTTTACGTCTTACAACTGGCGTGTTGTTCGGGCGAGTATTAATCAATTTTTCCGAGACAATAAAAGTAGTACAAAAGTTTGAAGACTAAACAAATGAGTGACATTTTTCTTGTGGTGTGGGGTTGTCAGCGTTTTTCGCTTATCCCCCCCCCCCCATTCTATCTGTAATGTGTTTTGTATGTTTTGTGTGTTAAATAAATACACCATCTTATTTATTCTAAATTTAGTTGTTTATTTAATTTTTAAAATTCGACTTTAGTATGAATTGAAAGTGTACATAAATGTTTCTTTCAAATGTCAACTTTCAGCGCTGCTGCTAGACGATAATAAAATTGCAAAGAGTTTTATTGTCAAGATTGCGAGATTATTGCCCAATATAATTGCAATTTTATTGCGAGATTATTGCCCAAGATATTGGCCAATATTATTACAATTTTATTGTCAATATTGCAATATTATTGCCCAATATATTGCCAATCCATTGCAAGTTATTGGCAATATTGGCCAATAAAATTGCAATATTATTGCAATTAAAAAAATATATATATTGATTAGTGAAGCTAAAGATTTTCAACCTTTTGTATGCGATGATTGTTTAGAAAAAGACAAATATTTAAATGATGAAATTAAAGATGCTTGGGATTGTTTTTTCGATACGAATTTGCAAGATTAGAGGAAATGCCATACAATCATCAATTTGTTGTCAAATTGACAAAATTTGGATGATGAATATGTTGACGAATCAGTGATAAATTTAGAACTTAAAAAATCTTATGAAATATTAAAAAGTATTGTTTTAGAAGTCAAAGGAAACAGATATTTATGTGAACGACTTCGATACCAAACTATATCTAGTTGTTTTGTTACTAATTTGAAGGAAGTGTTTTGGCATGCTTATTCTTTACCTATAGAAAAAAGTGTTACGATACTACATACTTATTTGATTTTGATTAAAAGTATGATTGAAACTTGTGAAAAAGGAATAAAAATATCTGAAGATATACTTAAAAAAAATAATTATTGCACTGAAAGTCAAAAAAGTTTTTAAAATTTAAAAACGAATTAAAAAATATCATGTGAGAATGTTTAAATTTATATATTTGTTGTCCGTATTGTGAATATAATAAATATAAATAATTTTTTTTTGATGATAACAGAAACTAAATTAAACGATTTTTTGGAAATGTAAGAAATGGTCGCCATTTCTATCCGTTCACGTAAAAAAATTTATTATATGAATTACGTACCTCTGGAGGTTGAAATGGAAAAATTGTATATGAAACAAATACAAGAACAATTATACAAAAAAATGAACTGTGAATTTGTAGATGAATATAATTGGGGTACGTTGAAATCAACAAATAAAAGACAAGTGCCAATAAGAGTGTGTGCATTTGTAATAGTTTTAATTTTATCTAAATTTAACATAATAAATGGAGACATTAAAACTGACGAATTTTTTGAATTTTATCAATTTTTTCAAAATTATCTAGGCAAAGAAAAAATTATTAATGAATTAAATAAAAAAATTGAAAACAACATGAGAAGGTATCAAGAGAAACGAAGACTGACAGAATTAAAACTCAAAGACATAATGAAAACTTTTAAAGATCGAATTTTAGCTAATTTATCAGTGGATGGAACGCTTACTGGATTGAATTTTACTTTATCGCAATTGTACGAAATAGCTTTAGCCTATAAAGAAACATGTGGAAATTGCAAAATTATAAAACATTTTGATCAACTTGAAAAACTTAAAGTTCCAGAATCAATCTGGACTACTTGGACTCAATTTTTTTATTATCAATTTGCGGATAATTATGTTTTTTTAATTTTGTTAGAAGTGTTGTTGGAAATTTCTCCAGTTTATAGTAACAAAGAATTTTATGAATTTTATTATTTTTTTAAAAACTATGATAAAAAACTAATTATTGAACATGTGAATGTTAAAGTATGCGAATATGTTGAAAAACTTTTTTGTTATTAAAAAATATTTTTTTGTAATTTTTTTTAGATGGAATTAACAGAAACATTATTAAATGAATTTTTGTGGGTTTTTATTGAAACATGTTTTAGAGAAAGGTTAACCTTGGAAAAATTTCGCTATTATGTTTTACGTTTTGATGAACAAAATTGGAACCACAACGATACAACAATCATTCAAAGAATTTAACATGATTTAAAACGTTTTGGAATACCTCATTTTGTGGTTTTAATAATTTTGCAATACATGTCACAACATTTTCACGTTTATTTAAACGAAGAGTTTTATAGATTTTATTATTTTTATCTTTATTATATATACACATAATAATAAAAAACAATGGATTAAAGAAGTAAATTTAAAATTAGATCGCATTGAGGAAATGATTGAATTTTTGCATAAATGATTGTATTTTTTTATAAATTTATTTTAGATTAGTAAATATGGATATTCAAAGAAAATATTCACAAGAAAACACATTTAAAAAAATAATAATTAAAAAACATAACGTTATTGAAACGGATGAAAAAGAACTCATTAGAAATTTAATGACTTTTGGCATGTTAGAGTTGATGAAAGACAAAGAATTTGTAAAAAATATGAAAAATATCGTAAACTTGAAATGTATCATTTATCGTTGATAATGTGGTTCGCAAAATATGCAATAATTTTACTTTACGGTTTATAAACAATTTTTTAATTTAATTGAAAAAAATGTTTTTTTTAGAAAATAAAATGAATTTGTCACCAAAACAAAAAATTGCTTTTCAATGGCTTGATGAAGGATTAAACTTTTTTATTACCGGTAGTGCTGGTTGTGGTAAAAGTTATTTGCTTAATGCTTTGCTTCTAGCAATCAACTCATAAAAAACATTGAAATTACAGCAAGTACTGGTAAAGCAGCTCATCAAATTAAAGGTATGACTATACATAGTTTTGCTGGTATTGAAGTTGGTACCAAACCTATAGAATATTATTATAACCACATAACACCAGACGTTTTTAACAGATGGAGAAATACGCATGTTTTAATTATTGATGAAATTTCGATGATTAACGCATAAACTTTTGATTTGTTGCATAATTTAGCGTGTAAAATAAATCAATGTTACGATGAATTATTTGGTGGAATTCAAGTTATTGTTTGTGGTGATTTTTATCAATTGCCGCCTGTTAAAGGTGATTACGTTTTTAAATCAACAATATGGAAGCAATATATGCATAACGTTCTTGAGTTAACCGAATGTTTTAGACAAAAAAATCTTGAATTTTTTAACGCGTTAAATGAAATACGATTAGGAAAAGTAACAGATAAAACTGTCAATTTTTTAATGACCAGACATTTTGAAAATGACGTAAATATATATTCGAATTACGGGCGTTTGTTTTTTTTAAATCAAGAAGTGGCTTTTTATAATTTACATAAATTAAACGATATTCGATCTGAAGAAAAATGGTTTCATTCTAAAGATGTTATTAAAAATCCCAAAGTCAATCATATGTTTCAAATTGCTACTTGTGTACTTTTAAAAGAAGGAGCTGTTGTCATGTTAGTAAAAAACGTAAACGTAGAAGAAGGGTTGTGTAACGGTACGATTGGCGTAGTAACGTTTATTGAATCAAACGGTGTTTGGGTTTGTATAAACGGTAGAGAATTTAAAATTGAAAATATAAAAGAAGACATTTTAGATTGTACTCATTCCGTTATAGCTTCTAGATTTGGTTTACCTTTACAGTTAGCATTTTCTTTTACTGTACACAAAGCTCAGGGGTGTACATTAAACGAAGCAGTTTTAAATTTTAATAGTAAAGAGTTTGTTTCATCGCCTATTTATGTAGCTTTATCGCGAGTTTGTAATTTAAATAGCATTTATATTATTCATAAAAATAAAAACGAATTAAGAAATGTATTAAAAAATATATCGATAGATGAAGATGTTGAACTCTTTTATAAAAATTGTATAAAAAAATAATTTTTTTAGCAACATAAATAAAATGCATTTTCAAGTTAAAATTGTTGAAGAAAAGTTAGCAAACGAAAGTTATTATAGAGAAACGTTTTATTATGTAAAAGACAAATACAAAGATGAAGATGTTATAGAAGAAATTGAATTAAACGAGCAAGTGCAATCTCCCGACGAAATTGTTCATCATATCAATGAAAAAACACAAGTTAGTTTTGATAACGAATTAAAAAAAAGTTTATCTTTTGCTGATTTGTTTCAAAACTTTTTAATAGGATACAATATTATATCTCTTTGTGCAAAGTCTACAGAAGACGGTTATTGTAAAATTATTAAACGTTGTTACAATTCACCTATTTATTATATTAAAAGAGCTGTTAATTTGCAATATATAAAAGACAACAATATTCGATCTGTTTTTAACATTATAGAAAACGATAGCGGATGGAGAATAATTCGGCTATGTAGTTTTAAAGTAAAAACATTGAGTAATTTAACCGAAAACTTTATGATGAAACTCAGAAACTACGAACTGAGCGGGTACAAAAGATTATCTGAACTTTCTCCCGATACCAGAATGAAAAAAAGACAAAAAAATTCTGAAAGGAACAAACAATATTATCAAAAAAATAAGAATAACTTATCTTCTGAAGAATTAATGAAAAAAAGACAACAAAATTCTAAAAAGAATAAAAAATATTATCAAAAAAAGATGAATAATTTATCTTCTGAAGAATTAATGAAAAATAGACAACAAAATTCTGAAAAGAATAAAAAATATTATCAAAAAATGATGAATAATTTATCTCCTGATGAATTAATGAAAAAAAGACAAAAAAATTCTAAAAGAAATAAAAAATATTATCAAAAAATGTGAATAATTTAACTCCTGAAGAAAAATCTGAAAAGTTTAAAAAATTTTATCAAAAAATTAAAAGTAAAATTTCATACAATAAACGACAATACAAAGAAGAAAATCAAGATGAATGGTTTGGTGAATGGTATTGACCTCATTCTTTAACCGGTTGGAAAAATTAAAATAGTATTTCATTTAAATTATTATCGTACGAACAAAAAAGAAAAATGTTTTTAGATTACAGCATACTGTTTGACGATGGTTTGTGTCTTTTCTCTGCTTTTGTCATTTCGCTGCTCATACGAAAATGGAGCGTAAACACAATTAAAGAATGGAATGAAAAAGTAATTGAAAAAAATGGTCAAGATTTGTATTCAGAAGAAAATATATTACAACTTCTTTTTGATACTGAAAATAA